AAAAAAAAAAAAAAAAGAATTATAAATAAGGCCAAGCGCAGTGGCTCATACCTGTAATTCCAACACTCTGGGAGGCCGAGGCAGGTAGATTGCCTAAAATCACAGGTTCAAGACCAACCTGAGCCAGAGCAAGACCTCATCTCTAAAAATAGCTGGGCATTGTGATAGGCACCTGTTTGAGGCTGCTGTGAGCTATGACGCCATGGCACTCTGTGGAGGGCAACGAAGTGAGACTCTGTCTCAAAAAAAAAGAATTACAAATAATACACTAGGGAGTGAATAGAAGTCAGTGGATGGGGAAAAGACAACTGAGGTATAAAGATAATCTATCTTAAAGTAAAGTAAAAGCTTGGCCTAAAAATATTTCATAGCCTTACTGTTGGGATTAAAATCCTGGGCTCTGGAGTCTAACAAACCTATGTGTATATCCCAGCTTGCCTGCTTACAAGTTATTTAGCTACTCTAACCCTTAATTTCCTCTTATCTAATTCTAAATAATACAACCTTCTGAAATGGTTAAAATTAAATGAGATAATGTGTGTAAAACATAACTACAGTTCCTGACACATGGTACAAACTCATGCTATCATCCTCAGTAGCTAAATTTTCATCCTAAAATTCTTATTTAAAAAAAGTCACATGGGTGGCACCTGTGGCTCAAAGAAGTAGGGCATCAGCCCTATATGCCAGAGGTGGTGGGTTCAAACCCAGCCCCGGCCAAAAACTGCAAAAAATAAAAATAAAAAAAGTCATACCTTCTGTATCATTTTCTGAACTTGTTTCACTGAAGCTTTTCCACCGTTCTTTTGCTCTTGAAAGGAAGATTTCATAAAGTTCTGGGAGGAAAAAAAAGAATAAAAATTTGTAAGTAACAGAAATTAAATACATTCACAAATTTTTATTCTTTACCCATTATATGTCAGGTATCTCTGTGAGGCAGATATCAAAAAAGTAGAAAACTGAAGTGCTTGATTCCACCAAAAATATACAGTATACAACCAGCAAATAAAAACTAGTGTAGAGTGATCATTAAAGTACTATAGCTACAATATAGAATGTACGTATGAGACAGTAGAGATGCTTCTACTAAAGGGATATCATTGTAAAACAGCAGAAACATGATTTTTGGAGTCAGGCAGCTAGATTCAAATTCTAGCTCAGCCACTTACTACCTATGGAACTTCAAAAAAGCTACTTAACCACTCTGGAACTTGGCTTTCTTCATCTGTAAAGTGGAGAAGACAATACCTGTTAATAGGGTTACTAATGCTTATGTAAAGCTCCTGGTGTCCTATCACCCCTCAATAAATGCAAGCTCTTGCTTTTTTTCTTTCCTGAAACTGGTTTCCCCACCTATATTTCATACAGATTTAGTCTAAGAGGCAACATACAAAAATATCTACCCCTATTCTTTTAACATAAATGTCCAGTCACTGTACTTCCATATACATGATCTCATAAAAACTTCAGCAAGAGAATATTTTTTTCTCAGTTCTTGAATTTTAATGGGATTTATTTTGTAATTTATAATTACAGATATTTGAAATTACATGAAAATAGATTTCAGGGACTGAAGAAAAGTAGGAAATATTTCTTGCCCAAACACCAACATTTATATATTGTTCAAAATATAGAACATTTTGGGGACCAAGTGCTGTATTTCTTGCCCAAACATCAATATTTATATATTGTCCAAAATATAGAACATTTTGGGGGCCAAGTGCCTCTTATCACAGCAGTTTGGGAGACTGAGGTGGGGAGGATCTCCTGAGCCCAGGAGTTTGAGACTAGCCTGAGCAACATAGCAAGACCACTATCTATACCAAAAAAAATTTTTTAGGCCAGGCGCAGTGGCTCAAGCCTGTAATCCCAGTACTTGGGAGACCAAGTCAGGTGGATTGCCTGAGCTCATGAGTTCAAGCCTGAGCCAGATAGAGACCCCCATCTCTAAAAAATAATTGGGCATTGTGGTGGACGCCTGTAGAACCATCTACTTGGGAGGCAGAGGCAAGAGAATCACTTAAACTCAAGAGGTTGCTGTGAGCTGTCACACAACAGCACTCAACCAAAGGCAACAAAGTGAGACTCTGTCTCCAAAAAAAAAATTTTTTTTTAATTGCCAGGCCTGGTGGCACACATCTGTAATCTCAGCTACTTGGGAGGCTGAAGCAAGATTGCTTGAGCCTAGGAGTTCAAGACTGTAGTGAGCTATGATCATGCTATCATACTCAACAGAGCAAGATCCTGTTTCTTATAAAAAGCAAATTGAAACATTTTTGCTTCAATTAATTCTTTTTTTTTTTTTTGTAGTTTTTGGCTTGGGCTGGGTTTGAACCCGCCACCTCCAGCATATGGGGCCAGCGCCCTACTCTTTGAGCCACAGGCACCACCCCAATTCTTTTAAAAATTTCATTTGTAAGGGTAATACCTAAGCATAGCTGTAAAAAATTCAAACTATACAAAATAGTATAGAGTAAAAAATAAATTCCCTTCCTCAAATGCAAATGTGATTACAGAACTCTCAAAAGTGAAAATACACATGCACAAATATGTGTGTGCACATACATACATCCTCTTTTTTATTTTTTATTTTTTGCAGTTCTACTTGTAATTCTTTTAGGAACCTCTATACTATTTTCCATAGCATCTATATTTTATATTCCTACTACCAGTGCACTGGGGTTCAAATTTTCTCCATTCCATAGCCAACACTCATTACTTGCTTTTTCTTTGATAATGTCCATCATAAGACACACCCTTTTTAAAAAATGCAAAGTGCAACATATTACATGCTCTGGTGTGTATCTTACTTTGTTATAATGGAGGTTTTTCCATTTTAGTAGATGTAGATTTACTTTCTCTTTCTGTTCAACAACTGCATAGCATTCCAATATATGACTATATCATAATAATTATTCTTTTTTTTTTTTTTTTGAGACGGAGCCTCAAGCTGTCCCCCTGGGTAGAGTGCCGTGGCATCACAGCTCACAGCAACCTCCAACTCCTGGGCTCAAGCGAGTGTCCTGCCTCAGCCTCCCAAGTAGCTGGGACTACAGGTGCCCACCACAATGCCCGGCCATTTTTTGGTTGCAGCTGTCATTGTTGTTTGGTGGGCCCGGGCTGGGGACTCGAACCTGCCACCTTAGGTGTATGTGGCTGGCACCCTAGCCGCCTGAGCCACAGGTGCTGAGCCATAATAATTATTCTTATATTGCCAAGAATCAGATCATTATTAGCAGACTAGATTGTATATATTTCAAACAGACTCTCCCTATTGTAATCTCTTCTCCCCTTTATTTGCTTTTCATTTACTACTTAATGATTTATAAATAAGTAGTAAAACAGAAAAAACTATCAAACTTAAAATTCCTATTACTCTGCCCAAATCCATCAATGGTTTTGTAGAAGAGGTGAATAAAATTATAAAACTTTATACACAATTATTTGGGGCTTATTAGGTATCAAACTGTGTATAAACAGACTTCTTTTATTGCAAGCTGTTCTAAGCCAATCAGTCAGCTTCATTATTCTACCCAAATTTTAAAACTGCCTTTAAAAAAAAGCTCATAAGACAAGTCCACTATTTTTGAAAGTCACAAAATTGATCCAGTAATAAAAGTGTGTAATGCATGTTAAAACATCAAATAACATCTCTCCAGGTACATTTATAGTGCTTGTCTCTAAAAAGACAACCTGCACCTCAGTTCAATTCCGTATTTGGCTCCTCATGTCACACTTAATTTGAACCTACAAAGGGAGAACTTAAAGCAGGCTTAAAGATGCTATACTTCAGACTTGAACAGAGAATACTCTGATTTCAGCATATGTTTCGCTTTCTGATCTTGCAACACATATATACTCTCAGCAAAATGCATTTTTCACTCTAATGTTACATTATCACAAATGACTGTCAGAAAAAAACCTTTGAGATAGCTAATAATTTTACCTTCATTTTACAGAGGAAGAAAAGTAAGACTTCTAGATGTTAAGTAATTTGCCCAAGGTAGCAAACCTAATATACACAGTGGAACAAATATTTGAACCACATTTGACTGACTTTATAGTTAGAGTCCTTACTCTTAGCTCCTATTTACTAGTACTTATAACATTCATGATTAAGACAAATGCAACAGGAGTAAAATTACCAAATTTAGCCAAAAGTGAAGAATACTATTAAAAATAAAATTCAACCAAAATTTAGCATCTTGAGCCAGCATGGTGGCTCATGCCTATAATCAATCCTAGCACTATGGTGGCAAGGCAAAAGGATCACTTGAGGTCAGGAGTTGAAAGCAGCCTGAGCACAAGCAAGACCCTGTCTCTATCAAAAGTAGAAAAAATAGGCAGGTGCGATGGTGTGCACCTATAGTTCCAACAACTCAGGAGGCTGAGGCAGGAAGACCACTTGACTCTAGGAGTTTGAGGTTGCAGTGAGCTATGATGATGTCACCACACTCTATTTGGGACAACAGAGTGATACTCTGTCTCAAAAAATGTTTTTCTTGCATTTCCACCACTAAAGAAGAGAATCAACACACATCCCATTCCCGAATAAATATACATTTAGTGAAGAAAACATAAAATTACTTTGAAAGTAAATGATCCAGCTATTATAAAACTTTATAAATTTCAAGCTCAAGAACCTTTTGATTACAATGTCACAAACATTAACACCAATTTAACCAATGTTTTAATGTCTAAGTCATCAAGACTTGCATTCTAAAGTCAGTTATCAATAAAAAGAAATACTGTAAGCAAAATTTCAAATAACCACCAATAGCTTATTACCCCATCTGTATAAAGCTAATTCATACAATTTTTTTTCTTTTTTTTTGAGATAGAGTCTATGTCTCCCTTGGTAGAGTACCGTGGCATCACAGTTCACAGCAACCTCCAACTCTTGGGCTTAAGCAATTCTCTTGCCTCAGCCTCCAAGTAGCTGAGACAACAGGCACCCACCACAACACCCAGCTATTTTTTTTTTTTGGTTGTAGTTGTCATTATTGTTTGGCAGGCCGTGGCTGGTTCAAACCCACCAGCTCTGGTGTATGTGGCTGGCACCTTAGCTGCTGAGCTACAGGCGCTGAGCCTGATTTATAAGATTTTAAACAATTATAATTGTTTGTTTGTTTTTTTTTTTTGAGACAGAGCCTCAAGCTATTGCCCTGGGTAGAGTGCCCCGTGGTGTCACAGCTCACAGCAACCTTCAACTCCTGGGCTTAAGCAGTTCTCTTGCCTCAGCCTCCCAAGTAGCTGGGACTACAGGCACCCACTACAACACTCAACGCCAGGCAATTCTGTGGTTGTAGTTGTCATTGTTTGGCAGGCCCAGGCTGGATTCAAACCTGCCAGCTCTGGTGTACACAGCTGGCACTTTAGTTGCTTGAGCCACAGGCGCCACCTAAAATTCTTAATATTAAAGATATTCAAAATCTAACTGAAAGTTCTGGCTATAATATAAAAACATTTTCTTTTAATCTGTTCCAAATGCAGAAGACAAAAGGAGCCTTGGTTTACATTTGGAGAAAATAGTTAACTTATGTAAAATCTCTTAATTTTTTTTTTTGAGACATAGTCTCACTCTGTTGCCCTGGGTGGAGTGATGTGGCATCACAGCTACCTCAAACTCCTGGGCTCAAGCAATCCTCTTGCCTCAGTCTCACAAGTAGCTGGGCCTAAAGCGCCCACCACACTGCCCAGTTAATTTTTCTATTTTTAGTAGAGTAAGGGTCTTAACTCTTGTTCAGGCTGGTCTTGAACTCCTGAGCTTAAGTAATCCACCTGCCTTGGCCTCCCAGAGTGCTGGGATTACAGACATGAGCCGCCTTGCTTTTTTTGTTGGAAGACTGTCTTGTTTGCCTGGGTTAGAGTGCCACGGCATCAGCCTAGCTTATAGCAGCCTCTAACTCCTGGGTTCAAGCAATCCTCCTGCCTTAGCCTCCCAAGTAGCTGGAACTACAGGTGCCTGCCAACTTTTTCTATTTTTAGTAGAGATGAGGGGGGCTCATTTGTGCTCAGGCTGGTCTAGAATTCCTGAGCTCAAAGGATCCTCCTGTCTTGGCCTTCTAGAGTGCTAGGATTATAGGTGTAAGCCATTGAGCCTAGCCTTAAGCCTTCCTTTAAATTCAATTTCTAAAAGTTTTTTTAAAGTTATTTTAAAACAATATGCTCACAGGGTACTTGTGAAAATCAATTTATAAATTTATACATAATCATGATATCCAAGATTGGCATCACTTTTATAATTTAAAGATAAACATTTTGGTTTTTCTGATAATCCTGTCCAATTATATATGTATAATGCTTATTGCTGCAATAAACATTCTTGTAAAAATGCTTTTGCATCCAACCTGATTATTTCCTTAAATTATGAGAACTAGAGTAGGTCAAAAGTTATGTTTGAGACTTTTCATATATATATATATATATATATATTTTTTTTTTTTTTTTTGTACAGATAGAGTCTCACTTTATTGCCCTTGGTAGAGGGCTGTGGTGTCACACAGCTCACAGCAACCTCCAACTCCTGGGCTTAGGCAATTCTCTCACCTCAGCCTTCAGAGTAGCTGGGACTATAGGCACCCACCATAACGCTCGGCTATTTTTTTTGTTGTAGTTTGGCGGGGGCCGGGTTTGAACCCGCCACCCTCGGTATATGGGGCCAGCACCCTACCCACTGAGCCACAGGCACGGCCCAAGAATTTTGATATATATTTCTAAGTTATTTTCAGTCATACCCCACGTGGGTAATTCTCACTCACTTTAATACTTTTAACATGAGGGATGAAAAACAGTACTTTGATGCTTTAACATATATGTCTTTAATTTGCCTATCACAGGAAAAATGGTTAAATAAATTACAGTACAGCCAAACTGTGGAATACAACGTAAGTATACTATGTATGAGGTAGACTTGTATGTACTGACATGGAGGGATGTTTAAAATAGAGTATAGTGTGAACAAAGCAAGCCACAGAATTGTCTTATGGCATAAATCAGGGAGGGGGGAATAAAGAAAAAAAAAGCCTTAAAAACTATTATATGTAGATGGATACTTTTTTATGTACATAAATACACACAAAAAAATCTGATAAAATACAGACCAAATCACTAACAGTGCTTACAGCAGGTTTGAGAATAGGAGTTTGAGTGGAAGAGTAGAAGAAGTTTTGTACTTTATTATTTTTTGAAATTTTTTTCAATAAATTAGGAAGAAAAAATTTAGAGGTAACACTGACAATATATTATTTCTATTATACTAGAGTCCCTAAGACAGTGATTTTGCATAGCATTAACATTATCACTCAGACCAATTTAGCACATTTCATTACCTATTTTATTTTCCACTATTTGGTACTATCTTAATTTTTTTCAACTTTCTTTAAAGAGAGGCATCAGGCAAGGTTGCCCAGATTGGCTTCATACTCTTGGCCTCAAGTGTTCCCCTCCTACCTCAGCCTCCAGAATAACTGGGATTATAGGTGAACACCACTGCACCCAGCAATATTATCCTAATTTTACTAATTAAAAAAAAATTAATCAAAACTAGCCTATATTATTACTGTTATCTGTCAAGGTTTTAAGAATCTTAAGAAAATAAGACAACTTTTTGGAAGTCATCTTTTTCTGTCTTTTAAACTATAAGATGTTTAAATTTTAAAAAATCTGAATGGACTGGTTTAGGTAAAGAAGTTAAAAGAAAATTCTAGTCTTCTTCTAGTATTTACATTTTTTTAAATTGATACATAGTCTCAAGCTATTGCCCTAGGTAGAGTGCTGTGGCATCACAGCTCATAGCAACCTCCTACTCTTGGGCTCAAGTGATCCTCTTGCCTCAGTTTTTTTTTTTTTTTTTTTATATTTTTAGTATAGACAGGGTCTCACTCTTGCTCAGGCTGGTCTCAAACTTGTGAACTTAAGCAATCCACTCACTCAGCCACTCACAGTGCTAAGATTACAAGGCATGAGCCACCACGCCCAGCTACATTTTTTTTTTTAGTAAAAAGGAAGTGTTTTCACAATTGAAATGCTTTCTTTTTTTCTTGTATATATTTATTCATCCACTAGAATCCAAGAAGTTTTTGGTATTTGAATTCCAACAATATTACTGATAGTTGCAAACTAAAGGAAACCACCAGGCATCATGGTTCATATATATGGTTCTAGATATTGGAGAGGCTAAGGCAGGAGGATCACTTATGCCCAGGAGTTCAAAGTATAGTGATCTATGACTATGTGACTACACTCCAACATGGGCAACATGGAGAAAGACCCTGCCTCATGAAAAATAAATTAATTAAAAACCACAAATTTTATTTATAAAGTATAATAACTTACTTATTAAGCCATAACAGGTTTTGGGGGGATGAAGCATGCTCTTAAAAATGACATTATATATGATAATGCCTTTGTAAATGGCCACTCTACTAATGTGCTTTTTAACTCTGGAGATGGCTACTTGTATGTATGGGAGTAACTGAACACAGAATACAAACCAGGAGTGATATTTAGTTCATTTCCTACAGCTAGACTCCAAACTTTCCCACGAACACTAGGGGGCAATCCCTGCCACCACAATTCTCGAACTCTTCTTGTACTACGCCTAGAATTAAAGGAGGAGAAAAAAGGAGAAAGTTACTTTTCATACCAAAAATACTAATCGCATGATGGTTTACCTAGTTTATGGCCAAGTGAGCAAATGATTTTTAAAAATATAGAGAATGATATATGTAATACATTCCTTCCTTTGGGTTCAAGCCTGCAAATACATAATACCTCAAAGACAGATAATAATATAAAGCAAATTGGTTTCTATAAATGCCACTTATACTAAGGATACAGTAAGAGAATCAGAAATATATCGACAATTATAAAGAAACAGGATAAAAGGGAGCTAATATGTGATGCAGATTCAGTACCAAAAAACCAAATCACTGAGAATTTATTGTATAGGTAAGGTTTTAAGGAGCGATGTATTCCACTCAGAGTGTGGGCTTTAAAGTCAGATGAAACTGAGTTCAAATCTAGTTTAACCCTATACTAATTGTATAACCTTGGGCAAATCACTTAACCTCTCTGACCCTGAGTTTCCCTATATGATATATGGGAGTAAAAACAGATATACCTTATAAAAGTCATAATAATCAACTGCAATTACTCATATAAGGAGCCTAATATATGTTACATTATGCCAATATTCAACAAATCCCCAATGTACATTGTACATCAGGTATCGCAGAAGATATCACCAACTTTACAGTCTAGAGGGAAGATAAAGCATATACAAAAGTATTACCAGAACATAAAAGGCAATATAAAGAAAGAAATTCTGTCATTTGTGATAACATGGAGGAATCTGGAGGATAGTATGCTAAGTGAAGTAAAACAGGCACAGAAAGACAAATATATGATCCCCATATATACAATCCAAAACTGTTGAGCTGGCCAGGCCCTGTGGCTCATGTCTGTGATACTAGCACTCAGGGAGGCCAAGGTGGTGGATTGCTTGAGCTCAGGAGTTCAAGACCAGCCTGAGAAAGAGCAAGACTCCATCTCTACTAAAAATAGAAAAACTAACCAGGCATCATCACAGGCACCTGTATCCTACCTACTCAGGAGGCTGAGGCAAGAGGATCACTTGAGCCAGGAGTTTGAGGTGGTTTGCTGTGAACTATGATGCTACAGCACTTACCCAGAGTGACAAAGTAAGACTCTATCTCAAAACAAAACAACAACAAAAAACAGAATAACTACGGTGGTGCCCATAGTTAAGTGGGTAGGGCGCCAGCCACATACACCAAGATGGTGGGTTCGAACTCGGCCAGGGTTCAATGTCAACAACAATGACAACTGCAATTTAAAAAAATAGCTGGGCCTTGTAGCCAGCGCCTATAGTCCCAGCTACTTGGGAGGCTGAGGCCAAGAGAATCTTGCTTAAGTCCAAGAGTTTGAGGTTGCTGTGAGCTGTGATGCCACAGTACTTTACGAAGGGCCACATAGACTCTGTCTCAAAAAAAAAGAATGGTAACTACGATCAATAATATTGGCTCAGCATCCATAGCTCAGTGAGTAGGGTGCCGGCCACATACAGTGAAGCCAGCAGGTTTGAGCCCAGCCCCAGCCAGCTAAACAACAATGACAACTGCAACAAAAAAACAGCTGGGCATTGTGGCAGGTGCCTGTAGTTCCAGCTACTTGGGAGGCTGAAGCAAGAGAATTGCTTAAGCCTAGGAGATTGAGGTTGCTGTGAGCTGTGACACCACCACACTCTACCAAGGGCAACACAGTGAGACTCTGTCTCAAAAATAAATAAACAAATAATAATAATATAGTATATATTTCAAAACTGGTAAATGAGTTAGATTTCAAATGTTTTATTACAAAACATAGTAAGTATTGAGGGGATGGATTTGTTAATTAACTTGATTTAATCATTCTATAATGTAAACATTATACCCCATAAACATATACGATTGTATAAATATATATAATTATTTACTAATTAAAAAAAGATGTTGGCTAAGAAGTAAAAATAAATAAAAGGCAAGATAAAGCAAGAAGGACATTAGTCTCAAAGTATGATGATGGGACATTTACATAAAGTAAAGATCATATGTAATATATTTCCTTGATTACGAGAAGCATTTAAAAATCAATAAATGTATCTTACAACACATATTTATTTATTTGAGACAGTGTCTCACTGTGTTGCCCTCAGTAGAGTACTGTAGTGTCACAGTTCACAGCAACCTCAAATTCTTGGGCTTAAGGGATTCTCTTGTCTCGTCTCCCAAGTAGCTGTGCCTATAGGTGCCCACCACAGCACCTGGCTATTTTTGTTGTTGTTACTGAAGTTGTCATTGTTGTTTAGCAGAACAGGCCCAGGTTGGAACCCACTGGCCCCATTGTATGTGGCCAGTGCCATAACCACTGAGCTACAGGCACCCAGCCCACATGTACATATTTAATATTTTCTTTACAAAATTCTGCTTCTACATCAATAAAGCATCTTACAACTGATGGTATGTTAGAAGTTTAAAAATACCATAACTGTAAAGTTTCAATCAACTAGCATTTAAGTTGGCTCTCAAAGGATAAGTAATATGTTAGACAGGCATAGAGAATGGTCAGTAAGAGATGAAAGTATGAGAGCCTGAGGGATTTATAAAAGCAAAGGCATAGAGATAAGCATCCAAATTTTCACACTATAGATGAATAGTATAATTTAGTCAAAGCAAAAGATACACACTGGAAAGTAATAATACAGAATTGGAAACATGAGATCTCTGGTGACAAACTAGAATTCAGGAAAGGTCTGCTTACTTACATTACTTCCCAGTTGGGCAAAATTTCATTGATCCAAATTACCATTGCACTTGCAATATTTTCTTCTTGTTTAAATCGTTCTTTCATTATTCTTTTTCTTTTATGTGCTTCTTTAATCTCTGTTTTAAACAAACAAGAATGATTTTTATGCTAATGTGCTATATCAAAATCCCCCTTTCCATCTACCTAACTCCACAAAAAAGGCTTTCTCATAAAAGAATATTCAAATAAGAAGGAAGGAAAGGAGGGACAGAGGGGAAGAGAGGATAAAGAAAAGGAAATGAACTCAATTAACATAATTATCTTTTCTTTTTTTTCCCCCAAGAGATAGGGTCTAGCCATGTTACCCAGACTGGTCTCAAACTCCTGGGTTCAAGCAATCCTCCCACCTCTACCTCTCATGGTAGCTGAGACTATAGGCATGTGCCACCTTGCCCAGCCATTAACATAATTTTAAAATAATATCTCCTGGGCGGCGCCTGTGGCTCAAAGGAGTAGGGCACCAGCCCCATGTGCTGGAGGTGGCAGGTTCAAACCCAGCCCCAGCCAAAAACTGCCAAATAAATAAATAAAATCTCCTAGTCTATAATAAAGGTAAACGGAATACGAGCCAGTAAAATCACATAAGCAGATCACTATATGACATATTTCTATCTGTATTTAATCTATAAAGTGATTTTTGTTGTTTATTTTTTGTTTTTGAGACAGTCTTACTTTGTGGCACTTGGTAGAGAGTGCTGTGACGTTCACAGTCCACAGCAACCTCAAACTCCTGGGCTCAAGCCATTCTCTTGCTTCAGCCTCCCAAGTAGCTGGGACTACAGGCGACCACCACAACACCCAGCTATTTTTTTTTTTTTTGAGACAAAGCCTCAAGCTGTCATTCTGGGTAGAGTACTGTAGCATCACAGCTCACAGCAACCTCCAACTCCTGGGCTCAAACAATTCTCCTGCCTCCACCTCCCAAGTAGCTGGGACTATAGGTACCCAAAACAACGCCCGGCTATTTTTTGGTTGCAGCCGTCATTGTTGTTTGGCAGGCCCAGGCTGGATTCGAACCCACCAGCTCAGGTATATGTGGCTGGCACCTTAGCCACTTGAGCCACAGGTGCCGAGCCCACCCAGCTATTTGTTGTTGTTGTTGTTGCAGGTGTCATTGTTGTTTGGCAGGCCCAGGCCTGGTTTGAATCCACTAGCCCCGGTGAGATGTGGCTGGCGCCCTAACTGCTCAGCTACAGGTGCCAAGCCTAAAGTGATATTTGTTATGAATTAACTATGTAAAAAATAAACAACTCTGAGCAACTAACCAATACATGGGGTTTTTAATTTCCTAACATAAATCACATGACATCAAAAACATGATTTTGCCAATGGCACTATTTTTTCTTTTTTTTTGAGAAAGCATCTCACTATGTCACCCTTGGTAGAGTGCCATAGTGTCACAGCTCACAGCAACCTCACATTCTTTAGCTTAAGCGATTCTCTTGCCTCAGCCTCTCAAGTAGCTGGGACTATAGGTGCCCACCACAACACCTGGCTATTTTTTTGCTGCAGTAGTTGTTATTATTGTTTGGCAGGCCCAGACCAGGTTCAAACCTGCCAGCCCTGATGTGGCCAGCATCCTAGCCACTGAGCTATAGGCGTCAAGCCTGCCAGGGGCACTATTAGTATATGAACACATGTGACATGGTGTTTCGTTTTCCTAATTAGATTGAAATTTTTTAAATTCCAAAAACATGTATATTAACAACACATCTCTGGAAATCAGAAGTCACTATTTCAGAACAAGAGATGCCTCAAATATAGAGAGATTTGAATTACAAAGGAAAAAAACTTTGTATATATAATTTTAGAACCAGTGAGGATATAAGAGATCAGCCAGCCAAACTGTTTTCAAATTATATTTCATACATGACTCTGAAACTATCTTGAGGGGTGAGCAGGAGCCCAAGTAAGCAGCTCCACTTTATTTTTTTTTTTT